GGCGGAGGGGCGCGGAGGGCGGCCGCCTTCTCGCTTGTTGTTCCGCGAGAGCTTTTTGACCGTTTTGCAAATTTTTCTCGGTTTCCTGTTTCTTGAAAGTTAGCTGGGGCCCCTACACCCCCCCCCCCACCTTCCTACCCCCGGGGCGGGACTCGGTGCTTCGCCGCAAAGCTCTGGGCGACCGTCGGGGCTGGAGTAAAGAGCCCTAAAAGTGGCCGGAGGTGCGGGGCGGAGCGGGGGGAGCTGCCCGACCCGAGGTGGGGGGCCGGGGCCCCCCAAGGCCTCCCCTCCCTCCCGGAGGAGTGTCCCGGGAGGATTTGGGGAAGGGAAGGCAGTGGGGCTGCCCTCACCCCCCCTCCACACCGGGTGAGAGCCGTTTCTGGCCCCCCAGCCCCTCGGAGCCGAAGTTTGCAGAAAGTTGTGCCCGGGCAGAGGGGTCCCCAGCCCCCCCATCCCATCCCCTGTGGGTCACTTGGGCAGGGGACAGAGCCCCGAGGGCAGGGGGGTGTCCCCCCGGGGGGGGCGCAGGGTCCCCGGAGGAGAGGTTTGGTTCTGGGGGTGGTGGTGCGAGGCTGCTCGGTGTGAAAGTGCTCCGGCTGCACACGCGTGTGGCAAAACCGGTTACCGTGAAGAGCGAGGGGGGGCAGAGAAGGGGAAGAGCGAGCCGGGGTGGAAATCGGAAGCGATTCTGGGTACTTACAGCAAGTTGCTGTGGTAACTGAGCAGAATTTGGGCTCTGAGGGCCAGACAATGAAACCTTTACTCATAGCAAGTTGTGATGGGCCACTCATTTCGTTACCGAGTTTAATGGCAACTAATGGGCCCTCGGGCGGATGGTTTTTTCCCAAATGGCATTTGTCACTCAGGGGCCTGATCTGGGGTTTCTCTCTGTCGGTCCTCCTGCTGGAGGAGAAGGCAGAGCCTCCCCTCGAGCCCACCCCGAGTTTATTTTTAGGTGAGAGCCTCTCGGGGCTGGGGCCATGTGGTCCCTCCCTGCCTCCATCGCCCCGCGGGAGGGGGCCGGGTGCTGCAGCCCCCATCCCACCAGCCTTCCAGGAGGGGTCTTGCCAAACTTCTCCTTGTCTGGGTGACACCAGGGGGTGCAGCCCTCCCCTCTGCCACCCCGGGACCTGCCCCGTGGCTAATGCTTTCCTTCTGCTTGCAGGTTTACGGTGCACGCAGCTCGCCGAATCCTGCCTCAACGGGGGCAAGTGTGAAACTTTTCTCAACGGGACGGAGGTGTGCCAGTAAGTATGGGGGAGCCAGAGGATTTTCATCTCCCCCGACCAAAGTATTGACATGCGTGTTGACTTTGCTTTGAAGGCTCTGGATTTAATAGGGCAAGATGCGCTTTCTTTTCCTTGAGTGGCAAGAATAACCTGCTTGTGTAGGAGTCGCCGCGAGTCTGGCAGGATCGGGCTTTGTTCCTAGCTGGGTGGAAAAACATGGGCAAAGGGCCATGTTTTGCTGGTGTTAACCTATGCAGACTGCCCTGCTGATGGAGCAGGAGGTAGGGCCAGCCCGCGGCGCTCGTTGGACCATCGGGTGGGGAGGGAGGCTGTCTGTCTGTCTGTCTGTCTTCCAGCAACTCCTTCCTGGCCCTGAAGGGTTGCCTTTCAGTCCCTTGCACCCTGGCACTTGGTGGTGCCATGTCCAGTACATCTCCAATAAACGTTCAAGAGAGGTTTCATGGCGTGGCTCTGGCTGCTGGAGATGCCCCACGGATGCCCGTGGGTCTGCAGGGCATCGCCCGGGGCAGGCGGTGGAGCAGGGCCACCTCCTCCCACAGCCCTGCCAATGCCAGTGCCAAGCTGTGGTCCAGCTCAGTATTCCTGGTGGGACCTGGCACCCGGGCAGGAGCTTTCTCCAAGCTGATTGTGGGGGAAACGGATGTATAAAGCGTTGGGACTCTTTGAAGGACCAACCGACCCACCGCAGCGATGGCCGATTCACTCCAGGCTCCCAGGGAACAATAACCAAGAGAAATGAATAAGACTCCAGCTCCCTTTTTAAAACTATTCCATAAAAGAAATGTGAATGGGCAAGGCTCTGTTTTCCGGCCAGATTTCCCCTCTGCCTGTTGAACGTGGCCTGAGCTGAGAGCAGGCGGGGAGACGTTCCCACCCACCCCAAATTTCCAAATAGGAAGTCCTCGGCGGAGGAACCTGAAGGCATTTCCAATCCCAACCTGTTGAATGGCAGTTTCCCTTGACAATGTGTGTTGCTTTTTTGCAAATCCGCCTGGGTGCCGTTACTCTGCCCAGTAGCCGGGCACCTCCCGCCCCCTTCTCCAAGCTGAGCCCCCCAACCCTTTGGTGCAAATAAATCAGCAAATCAATCAGGCACATGAGCAATTTAATGGACAAAGGCTGGGTCCCTTTGTGAGCCACTAATGAATGCACGCCACTTTTTTTTGCACAGAAGCCCTTACCAACGCTTGACGCTCTAAATCTTGTTTTCTTTCATTCAAAGAGCGACAGCTGGGATTCGGTCGAAATTCGGCAGCTATTGTTAAGGGAGGCAGATTAATGCTGTGTGACTAATCATGTATGGCTTCCCAGAATGCCCAACCCTCCACCCCCTCCCCAACCTTACACCCCTCCTTTTCCTTGTGGTCATTCTTCCCTTTTTTTTCTTAAGTCTCTGCAACTCCTGATTTACATTTCATGTGCAGATGGTGATGGAATCTAATTAGATCTGATGTGTGCGAGCTCTATTTGGAGGAGAAGCCTCCAAAGTAGGCTTGGGGTAGTGGGTTTTTTTTTTTTTTTAAGAGAAAAAGTTAACTTTAAGGAACTTCTTCGTTGCTAGCTGTGAATAACTGCCTCTCTCTTGGCTGCAGACGCCGGGATGGCTTCGCGAGTGTGTGCGAGTTATTTTTTGCAGGAAACCAAGGTGTGGTGTGTGAAAGCACTTGTCCCGTGCGGGGTGTGTTCCGTGGGTGATGGGGGCAGATATTAGAGGTACTGCCAGACTGGAGGAGGTGCAGCTTTCCAAGGTATCTGATAGCAGCTCGCAAAATCACGTTTTCTTTTCTTTTTTTTTCGCTTGTTTGAATATCTCTTTTTACGAGGAGTTTTGCTTCCAAGCTTCTTAAACAAAGCAGAGCCAAGAACACAGATACCAGACGCAGAAAAGCTTGGCACTGCCCTTTGGCGCCTGCGTGAAATGCACCATTTTGGCGGCTGGCCACCTCTCCGCTCGGCCTGGCACTTAACAAAGTTTGGCCATAAAGCCCCATTGTGCTGCCCCCACAAATCCAATTAGAAAGTGGAGTGAAATAAATAGGGGGCGAGGGAGACGCTGCTCTGGCGGACGAGCGCCCCGGCGTTTGTGGCGGGAGAGGGGCTCGGTGGGTTAGGCCGAGACGCCTCCGATAACACCCAGCGCCCCGTTATCGGCCCCGTTACGGAAAGGGAATCGCCGGAGCGAGACCAGGAGATTTCTCCTCCTTTATTACTTTACAGCGATAGTTTGGAAAACTCCAGGTGCCTTATCTTGCTTGTCCCTTTGCCAGGCAGTCCCGGGGCACCCAGGGCTTTAATTGAATGGAGAGGACTGAGCATTTGATCGGCTGGAGGGCTCGCGACAGAAGCGGCCTAATTAAGCCTCCTTTGGAGCTGCTTTCCATCTTGGCAGGGGCAGCCGGGTCTTTCGGTGCTGGAAGAGTTTCATGCATCGTGCTCAGACTCCAACTGAAGGTGTTTCTCTCCCACACGTGGCCCTTGCAGCAGATCTGGAGCTTTAGAAGGTCCAGGCAGGGCTGGGCTGGGACCAGCAGGCGATGGTTCCTGCGGTGTTCGAGCTACATGTGGCCCTTGCAACAGATCTGGAGCTTTAGAAGGTCCAGGTTGGGTTGAGCTGGGACCAGCAGGTGATGGTTCCTGTGGTGTTCGACCCACGCGTGGCCCTTGCAGCAGATCTGGAGCTTTAGAAGGTCCAGGCTGGGTTGGGCTGGGACCAACAGGCGATGGCTCCTGCGGTGTTCAACCTGTGGTTTCGTGGCACTGGGGAGCTGTGGGCTTCCCAGAAAAGGCGCTCGCCCTCGACTAAGGCATTTTCCCAGACGAAATGAGATGGTTTTTCCAAAAGGACGTTTTTGATTTCTAGTGATAGCTCCTAATTAGACTGTTGGGTAACCGTAGTTTTGACTGGCATCGCTGCAAACGAGCGGGGCTGATTTTAGATTGCTGTGCCATGTGACGGTTGTTCCCAGGACCTCCCTTGCTCCGCTAGTTAAAAGCAGATGGCATGAAAGAGGGCTGAGCTTCAAAACCCCGCTCCACCAGCCTTTCACCATTAAAGTCAGAGGAGCTGTGGCTGGGTTTGTCATACTCGTGCCCGGAGAAGCCAAAGAGATGGCAAAGGGAAAGAATAAGTTAAATTAATCACTAGGCTTGCGCTGAAAAGGGGGAAAAGTCGGTTTGCTAAAGTACTTCCTCTGTTTATGAATCAGCGCGGCGTTGTAGTTCAGCCGGGGCGATGGCTCCTGAGCTGGTGCCCGTTGCCACCACCAGCTTCCATGGGCAGCGGGCCAGAAACCTTAGGAGAAACATTCAGAGGGGGGACCGTAGTGGGAAGAGATGATTATTTTAGCTCAAAACTCTTTTTCAAGAGACAACCAGGAAGACTGAGGAGCGATCTGAGCCTTGCAGCTCTCTGCGCCCTTCAAGTTATTCAACTGCTCAGTCATTGTTATCTCATTGTAAAGGGCGGAAGTTTCCTTCTGGTTTGGTTTTTCTCATGTGCTTTAACCCAACGTTATTTCCATGAAATAATAACAAAGAAAAAATGCAGTCTCCGTGCTGGAGAGGAAGAGGGTGGAGTGTTGAACAATCAACCAGAGGAAGCTCTTAAAGAAGTAGAGGAGCGGTGATTCAGCCATGTTGAGAACTCTTGATGGCTCTTTCGAGTCTGATCTCATTCTCGGAAAGAACAAGGTGGAAATGGGTAAGAGGGTAGATTAAAAATACAAAAGCGTCACCTGTTGTGGATTCCAGTGGAAGAGAAACTTAGCTGAGAAGCCCAGCTGGTGAGGTCACTAGGACAGCAGTGGGATTTTGCAGCTCTTTTTCTAGAAGAATCTCTGTTTACATCTCTCCTCTCTGCAAGGCGTCGTGATGGTTATCAGTTGTCTCAGGTGGTCCCAGTGACTCCTGCTAACTGGCCTTGGGATTTTATTGGTTGGGCTGGGGTTTTTTTTTGCTTGATTTTTCTCACGGCTTGGTACGTGTGATGGCCAGAGGGTTGTACTGCCTTTGGGCAGGGGCCAACACAGATCATGTGCAGGAGGAGGTATCTCGGCAGGTCCCTGCAGCCCAGAGATGAGCTGGAGAGGTGGGGTGATGCCTCCTGAGATGAATGTCCTCAGGGGCTCCCCAGGATGCAGAAAGGATGAGATGGCCATCACCTGAGAACAGAGTGGCCAGATACTTGTAGCTGTTAAATGTGTGATCCTCCAGTGTGATGCAGTGCAGAGGTTTCTGCTCCATGGACAGCTGCTGGAGGTGGCTGCTTTGTCATACAGGGTACGTTTTGTTCCACAGAAACCTCTGAGATGCTGTCTTCCTACCTGCTGGAAGCCACGATCCGTCCATTTGTATCTACATGCCCTGGTCTCACCTCCAAGGCTGTTACGGTTTATTGTATGTAGCATGAGGGAGACATGCTTGGTCATTGCAAGGCCACGCTATTTCCCAATTAAGGGCTTGGATAACATAATCAGCAGGCAGTTAGCAAGTTTTAAAATAACATTGTTTGGAAATTAACCTGATCTTTCCAGGCCTGGAGGTGTGCTGACCCTCGTTTTGCTCATGTTGGTAGGTGTCCCAAATGGTAACGGCCTGTGTACATGAGTGGAATGTGAAATTTATAGAGCATCAGTGTGTTTAACGAGGGAGTAGCCTCGGGGTGCAGTTACTGAGGCCTGGTAAGCTCTGGATCTGGATGGAGACTTCTCCATGGTTAACCTGCTGCCAAACTCCAAGAGAAGGTTTTATACCATGTGTTGGGGCTGTGGGGTGGAAGAGCCTCTAGGTTACAACTCAAGCCCCCTTGGGAAGCCCGACCTGCAGTGGGGTCTGGGTTGAGTCCTGCCTCTGTCCCAGGGGCCAAAAAGGTGGTTGAGGTCCATCTGCTTCACTGCAGGTGGGTGGCTTTGTGTCCAACCAGCTCCTGGTGCCATCTGGGAAGGGCAGCACCATGGGGTGCTTGTGCTGCTCACCCACCACTGCTCAGGCCGGTCTGG